TTTCATTGCCAGAACAATTATCAGTTAAGCCTCTTGTAGTTCCTCGTGAAGAGCCCTTTGTAGACATGGGGGAGTCACTGCTGGATCGCATTAATAAAGAATTCTCCATAGAAGTGGAGTCATTTTCTCACTCAACCCCATGTCTCTCTATTCAAGATATATCCAGGTTTTGGTATTGAGAAACAATTTTCTGAAGAAGCTAATCTGAACTTGGCTAGCAAAACTCCCGGTCCAGAAGTAGTCATGGTAAGATTTCACCCTGCTTGAATGATGAAAATACCTTTCTCTGATAAAGCTAGTAGTAGTGCTTTAAATAACACATATATTGCAATATGTTATATGAGAGTGCTGGGCCTCCCAGATGTGTAATATAAAAGAGAAGTGTTAAGAGTATCAAATGCAGGTGCTGGAGTTGTGCCTTGAAGTGAGTGAGTAGTGAATGTAGGGGGCAGTGCATTTTCATTGAAGTTCCCATTCAGATTACAAATTACTAAAATTTTTCATTTTAATTATTTTTTAAATTAAGTTATGTTTAATTACAAATTATTACAAGTTATAAATTACAGACTTTTGGTAGGCAGCCACTGGACAACAGATAGACCCTCCAAACAACTGGAGAGAGAGCAACAACAGTTTATCATGACTCTTTGCATGAGAACATAGTATATATACCAGGTCCAATACAGTCAAACAGAGAAGTGAAAAGAGGTATAAAGAACAGTGTAATACAGTACAACAAAAGAGGAAGTACTAAGAGAGAGCTTCTACCACAATCGGAGATACTTTTTCTTATTTATACTTTTCTATCTTTTTCAATTACAGGTAGTGTAAGAAAAAAAAAACAAAACCCAAACATTTAAAAATGGTGGGTCAAACTACCCCTGTTTATTATTAATTTTATGATAGTATCTAGGAAATTCAGTAAAAAAAAAATTGTATGGCCTATTACATAAAGTATTGTAGGATATTCTGACTGTCCCACTCCTTCCAACAGACTAATTCAGTAGCATTTCTAACATTTTTTGCCTTTTACCTTTGTCTTCAATGAGTAAAAGCTCCCTTTTATCAGCTTTCTCAAAATTCAGCAGAGCAATGCATTGAGAATTGGAAGACATATTTCTTACTACTTTAATGTAAATATTTCTTTTTGGTTTCTCAGTCTTTTTTTTAATTCCTGCTTTAAAGTGAGAGGTTACTGTTAGTTAGGCAAAAATCTGACAGTGACATTCTTTAGACTTTTCACTCCACTGGAGCTTGATGCAGGTGCAAGAACTGTAGGCATTGTAGAAGGGTGGGCTCCTTCATTTTCATCACTTTATAATGCCGACCCACACTGACTTGCCTTCACCAATAGAAAATTTCCACTGAAGTTAATGAAAAAATAGTTGAATGGAGTGTAAATTTGAAAAAATTGAACAGATTGTGTCACCTCGTTTTGTGATATTAGAATAATACAAGTCTATAATACTGTAACAGTATGGGTGAAGCTACTCATATTTATTCTAAGTTGCCTTTTCACCTTCTCTGAATAGATTATTGTCAAGCATTTGACCTCTCATTTTTCTAATTAGTTGATGACAGAAAATGGTTGTCCCCCTCAGAAATGCCATAAGCTGATAAGGACTTTATACTTCAGCATTCTGAGCTATCACATGCTCACAAGGAAGAACAGAAGCAAGGAGATACAAGCAATAAAGGGATTCTCTCCACTCATAGAACAGGGAGCCCCTGTCCAAGTCCTTGTGAAGCATCCTCAGATATGTGTGGAACAAAATATTCCTGTTACCATTTGGAAAAATTACCATTTCAGGAGACAGTTACAAACTTCAGTGGGATGATCAAGGAGCTAGAGCAGGCTCAGCAAGAACCAACCCAAATCATGGATCTCCAGTGTGATGCTATGGTTTTGGAGAAGGTTAAAGACAGGGGAAACTGCTACTTAATGAAGGGAATTTAGGTCTAGATGATGTGACTAGGAGGATGAAGCGGCATCAGAAGAAACAGCCAACACAGCTTATTGATTCTTACTATGAAACCATTTCTCTGAAGACCAATTTTGAAGTTAAAAACAAAAACCATCCAGCAACAGCATTTGGGAAAAACTGTAAATAAGTTAAAGAAGGATACTGAAGATCAAAGTGAAACAAAGGAGAACAATGAGGCTAGGAGTTGGCTGATAGTCATGCAGGAAACTTTATTCAGCGCTATCAAATGTCTTGAGGATGCTGGCACTGAAAAAAACCCCAACCCTTCTGAAGCATGTGGAAGAACCTAAATCTGCATATTGTCTCCTTCAAATAAAGCATGAGGCAGAACTGAAGACCAGGTTTAGAAGACAGTGCTTGGAGATGGATCATGCCATACGCAAGAAAGGTAAAAAGATATGAGGAAACTTTATTCAGCGCTATCAAATGTCTTGAGGATGCTGGCACTGAAAAAAACCCCAACCCTTCTGAAGCATGTGGAAGAACCTAAATCTGCATATTGTCTCCTTCAAATAAAGCATGAGGCAGAACTGAAGACCAGGTTTAGAAGACAGTGCTTGGAGATGGATCATGCCATACGCAAGAAAGGCAAAAAGGTACAGAAACTGTAGCATCTCAGAAAAAAGCAGGAACATGAGGCCAAGACTGTAACTTCAGCCCTGCATGTACTAAGGGAGGAAAAGGCAAATACACAGAAATGGCATCTATCTTTGCAAACAAAATTCCAGGGAGAAAAGGATGGCAGGTTGGCAGAAAGTCAACAGCTGCGATGCAAATATAATAAGCTGGTGGCTCAGCTTTGAATCCTGCAAGCAGAATCTGAAAACAAACAAGCTGAGAGAAAGAAAATGCAACAGCAGATTTGTGAGTTCAGAAGAAAGAACCAAAAGCTGCAGCAGCAGAGGGTGAAAGACCAAGAACAAAACCACTTCCTGCAGCTTGAAACTGCCAGATGGAAAAAGAGATATCATAAAGTCAGAGAATCACAGGCAGCTAAGGTAGAATTCAGACTGACAGAACACTGTAAGCATCATCAGCATCTATAACTGATAGATTTCTTCATTGCCACGTGCAGCAGTTCCCCTCCTCTTCTCAGGACACTTCCACTGACTCAAGTTGAGGGTTCTGACCAAGAATTTAAGAACCAGAAAAATATATAAACTTGTGTTTCTCTTCAAGAACTTTCAAGTTAAGATAGCACTCATTCTCTTAAGTCCTTTACTGGACTCCAGTCCCAGTGTGGAATTGTCTTATACAGATATTTATGCATCATCTACTTTCAAGTAGTGATCAAACACTTTGCAAATTTATTATTTTAAATAAACAAGGGAATAAAAAGTTATGATGATGACCTATTTGCACTTCTTCAAGGGAAAAAGGAATTAAAGGATTGGAATGTAAATGTTGCAAACCTTCTGTCTTTCTAGATACAGTTTTGTCTGTATCTTCCCTGGGTGGGGAGGTTCAAGACTGGACACAGTATTTGAGAGGCATTCTAACACTGATTAGAGAGGTAACAGTCACTCACCTTGATCTGCTGTCTGTGCTCCTCTTGACATAGCCCAGGATGCTCTTGGCCTTTCATGCTGCTGGCTCATGGCAGCTTAGCATCTACAAGGACCCCCCAGGTCCTTCTCAGCAGAAGCTTCTCCCTGCCAAGTCGGTCCCCAGACTGTTCTGTTGACTGGAGCTCTTCATTCCCCAGTGCAGGACTCTGCATCTGTTGAGTATCATAAGGTTCCTGTTGGCTCATTCCTGCAGCTTGCCTAGGTCCCTCTGGGTGGAAGCCCTGCACTCAAGTGTATCTGCTAGCCCACTACCACTACAACCCCACCTCCTGATTTGGCACCATCTGCAAACCTTATAAGCACTTATTCCCCCTCCTGTGATAAAAATATTAAATTGGACAGGTCTTGTGACAGAACTCTGCAGTATTCACCTTGCTACTGATATCCAGGTCATACGAGGCTCCTGAGAGCCAGCAGATTACTGCTGAGCTGATGACTGTTGGCTAGATGATAGAGGTTAGCCACATCCGATTTATAAACCCTCATACCCTCACCCACTCCCCCTTAAAAGAGTTCAGGAGCCTGAAGGCAAGGGTCACTTTGGATGCAGAAGCCCGTAGGGCTGTGATCTACTTTTGTAGCCTGGCTGCAGTCTTTCAGCAAAGATCTGGAAATTTACTAGGAACTATCAGTGAACCCTGGGGATAAGTTCCCATGGTACTCGGTTCAGGGCTCAAGAAAGCCCAAAGTGTCAGAGAGCATGCAGCTGGAACGGGGCTGATCCACAAGGGAAGATGGGCCAGAAGCTGAGGGTGACCCCAGCACAAGTAGTGTCCCACCAGCGACGGCACAGAACCACAGCACCTGGGTGAGGTGGTGACAGCAACAGGCTCTGCCAAGAGTCCCAGTGACTCTGAAAGATCTCAGCCTCTGAAGTCAGCATCTCCTCCAGCTCATGATCCTCATACCATTGTTTCATAATGTTTGATAACATTCCCGGTGCATCTGACAAAGGTTAGATACATTATTTTACCACTTCATTTATTGATTTGATATTGCTAAATTTTTATATAAATTGTATCAAAAATAGAGCCATGACAAAATAAAAACCTAGAATGAAACAGGACATGGTTGGGTTTAAGTTGCAAAACTGAATAGGTAATAAAGAAAGTGCTTGATTCTTATAGGTAAAAGAAACCTTTTTTTTTTTTTCCTCGTTGAAAGAGCTTTGCTCCTTCTTCACTGAGCAGGGAAAGAAAAGTGTTCAGACCCAGAACATATTGTTCAAATTTGAATGTGCCAATAACAGTACATAAGACCATCCAACAAAGAAAACGTATCTGCTTTGTTAATTTCCCATATCATAAAGCGTAATAATGTCTAGGAGTTAACTGAATCTTCAGTTTCCTTTTTTTTTTTTTCCCCTTTCTTTAACATTGATAACTCTACCTTGGCCATAGGTAGCTGTCTTATTTATTGATTAATCCATATGTAATTACGTGTACATATGCTCTTACTGGTTATAATTTATTTCCCTATTCTATAGACTTTAGGCTTAAAATATAATTTTTCTTTCACCATATATGACAAATTATATTGGCCTGCTCTTAGATTCTTTTCCCTTACTAACATTACTAAACATGTTTACATACAGTAAAATGTATGTATGTTGCACTGCACCTTGTTACACAAACGCAGCAGAATAGGGTTGCACTGAAGTGCTACAGGACAGCTGAACACTGCTGGCACCACATAAGATCTCATTAGCCTGATAACTTCTCTAGCACAGGGATGTCCTCATTCCTTCTTCCTCATCCACCTTCAAAGGCTTATGCCTTATCAACACCACACCTATTATTATTTAGACCTTCTGGAGAAGGCAAATGGTATAGGCATGATAGCGTTCAGAACTGGACCCGTTTTGTTTGCAGCAACCAGACATCCCTGTCATCTTTCAGGACTGTAATGTGGTACAAACAAAAAAAGTAAAGTATGCATCAAGGAACTTGGAACACTAGCAAAAAAAAAACACCAACCCACAAACAAACAAAACAGAACAGTGGACATTTGTCCCATTTTACTTCTGATGTGAAATAACCATACAGGACCTCTTGCTGAACTGTGGAAAGGCAGTTTGCAGCCTTTCACATCTGAGCCTGCCACTAGTGAACAACATCCACGTCTGCGTAAGCCCCGAGTCCCTACAGAACTAACTGCCAGCAGTTCTGAACTGTGACAGTTAGCTACGCCGAACTACATCAGACTCATTTCCAGTCCTGAACTCTTCCACACTATTATTATTTAGACCTTCTGGAGAAGACAAATGTACGAGTCCAAATTACATCAAAAGGGGATGCTGGTACCTTAATCCACTGTGCCACCTAAGCTCCAATACAAGTAAACTCTCATACCTACCAATTTGTTTGATTTGCATTCAGAAATGCAAACATAATTTGTAATCTTGATGTCAACCTTTGTGGCATTTCCAGCTACATTTCAACCAATATGCAAGGATTAGTAGATAAGCACAATTAAGTGGACATGAAGAGTCTTTAGTTTAGTACTACCAAAACCACAAACCCACTTTGACTCTCAGGCTAAATTCTCTTGCAGAATTAAAAAAATGTCACACATACTAGTTATTCTTTATATACAGTCATTTAACAGTTTAACTCAGAAGATTTGATCTTTCATTTAAAGAAGATAAGACAGACTTAGGATAGACTATTAGGTTCTCTCTTTACTAGTGTCTCTCAACTAAAACACTAGATGCAACTGGGGAACTCTTCAGAAGTCAGGACTCTCTCCAACTTTGTACTTTCCTAATTCTACAGAGTAGCACCCTTCTCTTTGGTAAAAAAGACTAGACTTATGAATTCCATGTCCACAATGACATAAATCTGCCAAATAGCCAGACTATCACTGAATTAGTACCAATAATTAATTCACACTATAGAATAAAAAGCTTTTTATCTTTTGGTGCCAACAGCTTTGTTTCTGGTCTTCATGCAGAAGTAAAATCAAAAATTTGGTGGCTAAAATAATCTGTATGCTTTAAGCTGTACATATTGCAAAATCATCACCTCAATCTTCAACCAAAGTGTTACAAAGAGTTGGGTAATCCTGAGCTAGGCCAAATGGAGCTCTGAAGTTCCTTTCCTGTTGCCACTATACAGAATTTCCTGTTGCAGCATATGGAATTCATAAATCTGATTAAGCAATCATGGTTGGTGATGACAAGTTTATCTAGATTACTAGATTTTTCAGTGGATTCTTTCTGCTTCTTAGAAACACATCTAATTAGTTGAGCTCACGGAACACATAATTTTTCCATGTGCTACTGTCAGGCAGATCTTCAGAGAGGCATCTCTGGGTTTTTTTCAGATAAAATAAGAAACCTGTGTGTCTTTGAGACAATTTTGCTGCAATAGGGTAACTAAAATTCCTTCCGGTAAAAACAAACAAAAAAAAAAAATCGGGAAAGCACTGACTTTCAAAGAACTCCCACAATACAGGCTAAAGTCTAGCAGATCTCATTAAGAGCTCCTGTGAACACTGGTTTGTCTCCTGTACTATGACCCAGTCAGAAGCAGCCAACAGGACTGGAAGGCTGAGGCTTGCGATATGAATACTGTCTGCTTGCATTAATTTCAAATAAGTTAATCTCCCAGAGTTATAACCAGTGGCGAGAGAGAATAACACCACCTTGATAGGTCCAAGTCGGAGATTCTCATTGTAATCATTAATAACTACCAAATATAGTAACTGTCATTTTGAAAATTGCTATAGAAATTAACAGGAAAAATCCTCAGAATTCCATATCCATAGAATTACTTCTCTAAACCATATAAAGTAATGAAGAGATACTACTTGATACAATTCTCTTGAAGTATAGGACTAACTCTACTGATTTCAATAGGCACTACAAAATATAGAAGGGCAGGAAATCACTAATTTTTAGAAGAGAATTTTGCAGCTTTTGACACTTTCTGAAAAGCAGAAAAATTAGTCTCATCTGTGAGCCCATGAAAAGTCCCAGCAAAATCAATGAGCTACCTTTTCAGTGTGCATTGGACTACGGGGGTTACTCATCAAAACTATTGCATTGACCTGAACCCAAAGAGAATTGGGAAGTACTGCAGTTCTTGGCATGTGGTGACACTGCAAGGTATGGACACGTATAGCAAAGTCCAGAGAAAAATAACTGAGAAAAAAAAATACATTTTGCTAGTATGTAAAATTCCAGGAAAACTCACAGAACAAATGACAAAGTGAACCTCCTGATTTTACCAACAAAATTTCCCTCTACATTACAAACAAGATCCCTGTCCTAGTCAGGTTACATTTCAGCCGACTTTTTCCTGAGGTGTCCCAGTACACCATCCAAAACTGAGAAACAGGAAGCAGACAACAGGTTAGGACTCTGTATGATACTGTTCCTAAAAGCGCTTTGCTGAATCCATCTCTCATAGAAGCCACCGAGTAAATGCTGATAAGGCAGTCCAATAGATTCTTAAACACTTTGCTATGCCAAAAGCAAGTATTAGTTCAGAAATAAAAAGTCTCTCTACATGCACATAAACAACTATTTGTCTTTTGCTAATATCTTAGAAAAAGAAACACACATCTGGGAGAACCTGGAAACATGAGGTAAACTTTATTCATAGTCCACAGACATTAAGAATTCACAGGGTTTTTTTAATACGTATTATGAAACTGAAGGCATTTTTCCTACTAACAGTTTTACCTGTAATTTCTATTTGAAAAGCTTTTTTAAATGCAAGGATGCAATGCTTGTACATAACTCTGACCACATGCAGAATTCCCATGGGCAACATGAACTCCTAGTGAACTCTACTCTTCTCAGAATTAGTATTCGACATCAGACATATCAAATCTAAAACTTACAATAAAGGCAATTATTGTCAACACTTATTTTGTTATGCCTGTGAATACACAAACAGAGCAATCTGTGCAAAAAAAAAAATAATCTCTGCAGCTTCCTTCAGTTACTCATACAGTCTTTCAGATTATTAATTGTTTAATATGAATAGAATACTTAGCACAAAAGAACTGCAGCCTAATAGGCCTTTAGGCACAGCTGTAATATTGCAGTCTGTCTGGGCTTGGTGTTTTGCTAAAGCTAGTCAAGGTATCTCAATTATTTTCACACACTTTTAATTAACACATTTCAGGTGTCCCCACCACATGCAAACTCAGTAAGAGCACCACACAGGTTAATTAATTAGTAACATCAGGATCAGTTAACTCAGATGGAAAAACAGCATACAAAGTATATAGTCACTGCTTGGAAGACAGAGAATGTTTCAGATCCTATAGTCCTAAATAGAAAACCTCCTATAGCATGCCAGTGTTCTCTTTTATTTTCCCCAAGGAAAAATATTTGGCTGCTTTTCCAAAACAAACCAACCAAAAGACCACAAAACAACCAAACCACAACTAGGTTAAGTTAATCACGTTTGCCCAAAGATTATTATGTTAAACGAATTTAAAGACCTTTGCAGAAAAAGTAATATTATACCATTGTAAATATTATCTGACAGGAACTACTTTTATCAGTAGCAATGGATGTTCTTCAGTTTCCATAATGATGCTTCATCTTCAGTGGATACTTAACAGCATTTCAGTAACATTTTCAGCATGTTAAAAATATGATTAAGATAAACTTTAGCTAGAATGGTAACTCTTGATAAATTTTTTTTTGGTGTAATTTGCAGGTTCAAAACCAAATGAATAAAAATAATGTGGAAAATGAAAAACAAAAGACTTAAGATTCCATTTACCACTGCCATCACAAGCTGCATACACACAAATGTCGAAGTTATGACAAAATACAGAGTACGACTTAATGCTACTCACATTTCATTGTACCCTGTTACGTAAATCGTTGCATTAACTGTGGGAGAAAAGAGAAAGCTTGGGGGTTGGTCTTGGCCACTCACTGAATGTTTTGACTGTGGGATTTGGGAAGGCTTTCTATCTTCATATGCCTTATGTTTCATTTATCATAGAATATAATCATAGAATCGCCTAAGTTGGAAGTGGCGTTTAAGATCATCGAGTCCAACCATTAACCTGCCAAAACCACCACTAAGCCTTATCCCTAAGCACCACATCTACCCATCTTTTAAATATCTCCAGGGATAGTGATTCCACCACTTCCCTGGGCAGCCTGATCCAATGCGTACCAACCCTTTCAGTGAAGAAACTCTTCCCAAGACTTGTGCGCTAGACCAAAAGAACCACTGAAAGAAAGGTAATGTATCACTTTCATACACATCGCCTATCATGCCTTGGAAAATTTTCTCAATTAAATCATCAAATATATGCCCAACCCCGTTATTCTAAAGCAATGCAGAATTGTGAGATTTTTGCCAGCAGTTTTTTCAGTCACACGCTTTACCTTGCTCTTTAGAGATTTATGTTAATCTACTCTCACAAAACCAACCCTCCCCCGTCGGATTTTACCCCTCCCCGTGCAGTACACTAAGAAGGAGGAACACGACGGCCATTCCCTGCGCTACGAGCAGCCGAAGCTGCAGGCGCAGCCTCCCCACCTGCCGACTGCCGAAAGCCTGCC